AACAAACATCCATGACAACAACGTAGAGCAGGTAAACTGTTCAACATGTCGTAGTCTGAGGGTGTCAGCACGACAACGTTTGCTAAATAGCACCAAAGCAGAGAAACAGCAGGAAAAGTTAAAGCTGACAAATGTTGTGATAAATCTGGATTACCAAACAGTCACAATAGCTGTTGAGATATTTCAGTGTGAATCACAGCAGTGGGCTAAGTGAGTGACCTTGCCTTCACTCGAACCATGTGCCTCTGACACGGCAAACAAACAAACTAAACACAGAAAACATGAGCGCAGGACATCCTGTCTCTTATTTTCCCACTTTGAGTCAGTGCTTGAAGTCAGGATATTTTTCTTTTCTGCTAATCACCACACAGACGTGTGTCCTCAATCAGACGTCTATTCCGACTGTCAGCTCGCTGTAAAAATGTCAATTTAAGGTTAAAAATAAAGTTTTCTTTTGCCTGAAACAAGAAGAATTGGCCGTCAGTTCAATCAGTGGTTTCCATTTGATAAGAGGATGCCCAGAAACCAGAAGCCTTGATCAAATTACTGATGATAAGATAAATGCAGCTCTTGTTTCTAAAGATAACAAAGCTTCACAGAGGAAACGCCTGTACAGAGCCTTGCCTAAACCAGATTTATAAAATACAATCATCAGGTTCGGAGACATGTGTGCAGCACTGAGCCACACTGCAGAGTGAATAGTGGTGCAGTGGCTGCAGCCATCACTGCCAGAAAGTCATATCTCTGTATGTATATAGTGAAATATCTCTTTTCTAATAGATGAATTGCAACTAAATCTGGTTACAGACACTCCTGATCCCCAGAGGATGAATCTGTAATATCTGCAAAAACAATGATCATATAAACTAATTAATTTGGTGCTAATTAGCAAATGTTAGCATGCAAAACATTGCAACACAGTGACCTCAGCGTTTAATCCTACGGCCTCTCGGCTCTGTTGGCGTGGCTGTAAACTCTTAGACTTGTTTGTTAACAATGGAAATTATGACTCACCTTTGAAGACACTTTTGACCAAACATGATGGAGTTTGTCTCTTTTCATGATGTGTCTCCAACTATTCATCTGTGTCTGTCACATTTATAATCATCTGTTTTGTGTAGTTTCATCAGAGAAGGTGTTAGATCTGTGATTATTTCAACTATCAGTCAGTATTGAATTGAATGGAATGTATGCAATCTAAAGCACTGTTGTTCTCAGAGAAATGAAACTCATGCAAACAAGTCCAGCCCTCGAAATCTCACATTTTCTACCTCATGTGGTTCAAAAACTAAAACTTGAAAATAGGTGTTTTTGTCTTGTAATTGCACAGCTGAAGTTTCAACGCATTCTGGGGTCCTGTAACAGACATAGCCCTTATGTCTAGCAAAACATGGCCCAAAATACGATAAAAGTAGAAACTCAATATCAAACCTGCCATCTTATCGAGTTGCCACGCACGTACCTTGTCTGTTTTCTTTTGTTTGCATTACTCAGATTGCGTCCCGTCTGACTTTGCCGGCTGTAATGTAATGGGACTTCATGCTGCTCGCTTCATTCTTCTGAGCGTCTACCCTGTTTTTGTTTGCCTTCTCCTAAAGTGTTGTTTTCTCATTGTTTTTTTTGATGGCTAAATTAACATCCGGCCGAGGGGGAAACAGTTTGAAATCATTGTAAATGTGCCAGCGTTAGCCACACTGGCACATTTTCTGTGATGTTGATTACTCTGTTGATGTTTAACTCACTGGTTCAGCAGTGCTTTTCCCTACAAGTCAATCTGAGGCTGCGGCTTCATGTCGGCTGATAATGGCGGGTGAAATGACCTGTGCAGTTAGCCTCTTACATGTGAGTCAAACCGAGCCCCAAAATGGCTGACAGGTTCAGTTGCAGATCAGAGTAGACCCCCTTGTCTTGCAAGAAGGGAAGTGGACATCTGTTTGGTGTATTTGTTGCTTTGGCAGGGGTGTAATTGCTTGAGGACGAGGTATTTCCATACAGTTAAATAAGCAAGTCAGTGGAAAGGGGGGGGAAGCCTCTTCTGAGTGATTAGTAGGCTAACGTCTAAAAGCACAAGTGGAAGAAAACTGTTGCTCTGTGTGACTTCACAGGCAAAGCAAATTCAGATGCTCAAATCGTTTTTGCATGTTCGGTGTCGTCAAGTAATTACAATACAATGTGGCTAGCATGTGCACACACACTGACACGAGCATGATTCATCACGAAACACTATACTTCAAGGTTTCCTCGAGACGTGCATGTGTATGTTTATACTGCACAAATGCCTCTGGATACATGTATTTCACATCAACTTTGCTCATGAACTGCTGTAAACTTTAAGGCCTACCTTCGACTAGACTGGAGGAAATGGAAAAAGATTTTGCTGGAAAAAAAAAAGGTTTGTGTGCAACAGGCCAGTGGTACATTTTATCCACCCCAATCATTTCAAAAGAACAGAGAAAGTGAACGATAGGGTTACTGCTTCTAATCAGATGTGACATTTTCTTACTCATAATAATCAACACAAAGCAGAGACAGATCTGTACGTTTGAAGGGGATTTTGTGAGCTTTAGCACTCGGTAACTGGAGTCCTGAGAATCACAAAAACACTTCTTTAAATTGAAAAATTACATTTGTTGTCTGAAACTTTAAGGCATTTAAATCATTCCCATGACTGAGCTGACCCTTCATTCGCCTCGACTTCACATAAAATAATGTCATACAGAGCACATGATTATAGATGTACTGTTTGTTCTGCCTATATAGCCTGAACTAAACGTCTTAAAACATCACAGCTGTGTGAATACAGTTAGTTTTCCTGCTGACTAAGTGAAATAAACAACTTTTAACTACTCTTGGAAGGAGAGCACTTGACACGCAGGCACATAAACTCCTCAGATCGCTTTCACTCATCTTTTGCTCTGGGCTCAATCATTAAACAGAGTTCTGCTCACATCTATCCCTTATTGTGTTCTCCAATAAAAGATTATCTGAGACAGACACAACAGACGGATAAGAAAATGGAATGTGTCTCAGTCGCATTCTTTCACACTTACTACTGCTGCAAGAGGGTTTAAAGCTTCTAAAGGAAGTCTGAGCTTCACTTACTACAGGCCTGTGCATCAAGCGGTTTGCTGTATGGATTTTAATATAGAAACATTTTCACTGAAACTCAAACATGCAGCAATTGTTAATCAAAAAGACTATTTGTAGTAGAAGTAGAAGGTATCTGCACTTCTTTCTGGTTCTTGATGATGTTTTACCGTCATCCAAGAGGCTTCCTTTAGCTCTGACTGATGGGGACTCCCAGATATTTAGTGGCCAAAGTGTCTATAGAGGGATCTCAAGACTGCACTGTAAATACCTGACAAGTGGTGTTGTAGTCCCTCTCCAGGAGTGCATGGCTCAACACAAGAAAGCCAGGTCCTCTGGACAAGACTCAGCAGTCCGGCCACATCTGAAGATTAAGGGACGCTCGATTAAGGACATCCATGTACACGTTATGTTCAGAGAAGACGTATGGTTTGAAAGAGGAGTGAAGGAAGCTGTCTATGTCAAACTGGAACACCCATCTTTAAACAGAGGAGGAGGTCTATGACACCACTTATCAGTTCTGGTAGATCAATCGTAGCAACTGGACTTGCTTGAGTTCCTTGAAGATGTTTCACCTCTCATCCAAGAGGCTTCATCAGTTCTGACTGACTAGTTGGGAGTTCCAGATACTTATACCCTTAAGGATCCATTAACACCTGAGTTTCGGTTTCAATTGGGGGTAGATACTCCTCCCCCTCGTTATGTGAGTCTTAAGGATGTAAGTATCTGGAACTCCCAACTAGTCAGTCAGAAGTGATGAAGCCTCTTGGATGAGAGGTGGAACGTCTTCAAAGAACTCAAGCAAGTCCGGTTGCTACGATTAATCCATGAGAATAACCATGACCTGGATGACTGAGAATCTTCACAAACACCACTTATCAGGTACTTATAACACAGTCTTGAGATTCCTCCCTAGACAGTTCTATCGCCATTAACACCATCAGTCGTTCCTCTCCACACAGTTTAACAACCATTCACAACTCGAAAGGTTCTAAGTCTTGGCTTGTTAATGGACCATTAGCCATGTGAGTTGGGTAGGAGAATAAATACAGTCATTCAGTTAAAACCGAGGAAGTCTCCTGGATGAGAGGTGAAATGTTGTCAAGAACGTCTAGTTGCCTTAAAGCGTTTAGGATTAAAAATGTTCTTTTGTACCGTTTGAATCAATAGTTCTTGACATGTAGCTTAAATAACCCGAGAAAGGCCACAAGGAATCTCATAGACTGACAGTAATCCTTATTCTCAGACATAGTCCTATTCAAATGAGGTTTTCTATTCCTAAATGTTGGCGAGACACAACAAATGCATTTCTTGGCAGGACTGTTCAAGTGATGCTGTAATTCATATCACACTAAAGCCCTAGACATTACATGTCATCTGTGCATCAAGCAGTGTGATTTCAAGCACATTGAGGCTATAAGTAGCAATACAATCTACTCAGTCTGTTTTCCCTGGCTGATTAGAAACACATTTCCAACCCAATATCAACCAGGCTTGGAGAGCAGGATGGGGAATCTGGTGTATTGTTAGTGGAAAGTGTGAAACTTCTCTCTCTCCCTCTCGGCCATCTGAGTACACAGACTGAGCCTCTTTCATAACACAACTCTCCTCGCTCTCACACATCAAGTTCAATCTTGAATCTGGCCTCCATCTCTCCGTGTAGCCTTGCATGGGTGGAGACAGGAAGAGGCAGAGGATGGACCGCCAGACGTCACCAGCACTCCGCGCGTCTCTCGCTTCTCCTGCGCCTCAGTCAGGATTGATGGTGAGAGGGATGGAGTGGAGTCAGCTGCACTGCGTTGTGAAATAGGAACATACTCAAGGAAAACCTGACTGTAAACTGGGAGTAATTCTTTTCCTTTTTTTTTTGGTCTTCTGAGTCTTGTTGGACCTGTCCGTTTAACTTCAGAGGGAAGTCTTTGCATTTTGCGCTCCTGCCCTTGGTTTTTTGTGCGCACTGGATGTTGCGCCACGCTGCGTAGTGGTGGCCAGTTGGCATGAGAGTGATTGCTTTACAGATCATCACGGTTTTCAGTGGCAGGAACCCGGAGTGATGAGTGCGCTCCTCGTTTTTCTCTTTGGCTAAAACGTCTCCAAAAAAAAAATGCCGTTTATCGCTTTTGCCAGATGATACCTGTTGAGTTTGCATCGCGCCATGTCCTTCTGTCGGACTAAAGTGGACAATGAAGTTATGGGATAGCCTGACCACTTGTTTGATACTGCTGAGCGCCGTGCACGCCAGCCCGCTGCTCCAGAACCGACGACAGCAGCCCCCGTCCAGCAGGAGGAGAGGGCGCGCCGCGGAGGGTCCCCTGGAGCTCCCGCCGGTCCAAACCCGTCTGTCTGCTACCTCCCCGGGAATCAGCAGCACCGAGCCTGCAGGCAGAGAGCAGAGGTTTGCAGGAGGAGACCAAGGTAAGAGCCTGTGGTTTTGTATGGAGTACCAAAAGTGCCAACATCCAAGAAAAAAAAAATGCATGGAGCAGATTTGCCAAATCTCTGTTTTTTGTTTCTAAAACAAATAATAAGGAGCCTATTGTTATCTGTGTGCAAGAGAATACATACACAATTGAAAACATGTGGAGCTGCTCACTCTGTTGGTACATCTACACAGAAACATACAATAGAAGAGGTTTGAAAGGGTGTTTTTTGTTGTGCACAAAACAATTTTGTCCATTTCAAACCTCATCAGTTTACGGTTAGAAAAGACAAATAAATGTGTAAAATCTCAGTAGCTAATGACTGTTTCAAAGCAATTCATTAACCCTATTCAGGACTTTCATGTTGCCATACATAGAAGGTCTTTCATTGGACCCCAAGAAAGAATAAGTGCAAAATATCTGTTGGTCTTCATTATAGACTTTTATACTATTTTAAATAAATTTTCTGTTAAGTTGACGGATTTGTGGTTCCAAATGCATGACAAATGCCTCTCTTTAAAAAAAAACAAACAAAAAAAACAACAGCTGACCCCTAAACCAAATGGTCTGGGGACCAAAAGACCCCAAAAGTCCTGACTAGTGTTAACTGTTCAGTAATCACAGGTTCTGTGTAGTGGTATGTGCTGCAATATTGTGGCTGTTGTAACCCACAAAACATAAAACTCTCTGGTGGACAGATAAGAATGGGATCCATTTAGAAGTTGGATGAATCAGTTCAAAGGGAATTCCTCTGCTGAAAAAGCTGTATGAGTGACACAACACTCCATCTGTTCAATAGCCACAGTGGTGCGTTAGAGTGAAACAATATGTGCCGCCCAATACGATGCATCCTTGTTAGAGTGCCGCTTCTCTCCATGTTTTTCAGACAGCATGGAGGAGCTCCTCCCAAGTGACTTTGAAGATGTGGTGGACTTCATAAAAGTAACCATCAGCAGGATACGTCGCTCCACCGCGCCTGCCGCGTCCTCATCTACCTCCTCCTCCACCACCATCGCCATCACCACCCCTTCTACCCCCAGAGAAGACTTGAGCAGCAGGACTCGCCGCAGAAGGGAGAGGAAGAAGGGGGCAAGCCAGGAGAGTAGTAAAGGTGGAAAAAGAGGAGGAGCCAGAGGGGGGGACACGGGCCGGAGGACTAGAGGAGGAGGAGGTGGTGGGCGAGGACAGGGATGTGTGCTCAAACAGATCCACCTCAACGTGTCCGACCTGGGCCTGGGCTACCGCTCCAGCGAGGAAATGATATTCAGGTACTGCTCCGGACCCTGCAGGAAGTCCGAGACCAACTACGACAAAATCCTTTACAACCTCGTTCACAACAGGAAGCTTCCGGCAAAAGACACGCCCCCTCAGGCCTGCTGTCGGCCAACAGCGTTCGACGACGACCTGTCGTTTCTGGACGACAGCCTGGTTTACCACACCGTCAGGAAGCACTCGGCCAGGAAATGCGGTTGTGTGTAGGTGAAGTAGTGTCAGGCTTTATGTAGTTTTAGGTTCTTTTAGCCTCACTTTGAAGTGTGATGTTGAGTGTATTTTCCTGATAGTTTTCACATTGTGAGGAAACTTTTTCAGCATGATGTGATCATGTAGGACTTGAGTCCAGCAGTAAAGGAGGAAATAAAGAGACGAAGAGGCATCACTGAAGTTTTTACCCTCAAGAAATGCCTTCATTTCTACATCGACTCCATCAAAATATCCCAGATTTCCTTTACAGTCTACAACAGGGGTGTCCAGTCCTGGTCCTCGAGGGCCACAATCCTGCATGTTCTAGATGTTTCCAACACACCTGATTCAAATGATCAGGATCGTTATCAGACTTCTGCAGAGCTTGATGATGAGCTGATCATTTGAATCAGGTGTGTTGGAAGAGGGAAACATCTCAAACATGCTGGACTGTGGCCCTCGAGGACCAGGATTGGACACCCCTGGTCTACAACCTGTAGACTGGCAGTAAATCATACTTAACACCAAATGTTAAGTAGGATTTGATTTGGTGTTTCCATGGATACTCAACCAAAAGGACTGAACTCAATCAGACAACAGACTCACTCTGTCCACTGTATAGCACATATGTTACACCCTGTTATACACATATAAATGTATTTATGAAATCTTGAATTTATTAACTTATTGATATTTATTTTGGTTTTATAAAAGGAATAAATGTTATTTATTACGGTGATGTGATATCTCAGAGTGTGCCAAAGGTTTAAATCAAATATGATTTATTTTCATATCCAAGCAGTAACAGACTTGCAAATTTTACTTTTACACATCAGGATTTCACATTAAAGGTTCCCTGTGAGGTTGTCTCGACAAAGTTGCATTCAGGGTGTCTCACCACAACACGTTGTTTGTGTACTTGAGGTCCAGCATGTGCACTAAATGTATTTTTTTTCCTTGTACAACATACAACATTTTTGGAGAAGTTTATCACATCACTGCAAAAATATTGCTCCATAGTGCTACTAGTGGCCAAACTCCACATGACACCGTGAAAGGAAACGTTTCCTCAGCATCATAAATGTCCTGCGGCATTTTCTTGTAAACACATTTTGCATCCTGTAGGTCTAAAAGTTGACTTGAATACATTTTGTTCCTTATGCATCATTTGCAAAGTTAATTTTGACAACATGTCTTGTTTATAGGTTGCTAATTTGCAGGTTTCTACTTCTTTATTTTTATTGCGTTGCTACTTTTCTTGTTAGTGCCACCATTTGTCAGTCACCTGAATGCAACATTGCTCGGCACTTCTAGCAATCAACAACTCCACAGGGCGCCTTTAAAGTTTTTGTTCACATGCAGATCAACTTTTACTCAACTTAAGTGTCATCTTACTGCGTCTTCTTTTTCTTTTTTTGACGTGATGAAAACATACGACAGCATTTTGATCTCAACATTGGAAGAACAGTTGCTGATTCACTGCTAACTTCGTGTCCTCTGCTCAAATGAATTGCTGTTAGTGAAACTAGATTTTCTCACCACTTTTAAACTACAGCTTTATTTTTATACAGTATTCACATTTAAACTGTCTGATTTAATTGTTAATAAATGCATTCTTACACAACGCAGTGCATTGTGTCGGGTCCACGCCGTTCTCTGTCCTGAGACGACAACACGCCACGCTGTTGTAAATCTCTCTGCTCTGTGATGATTCCATTCAGAAAACATTCTGTTTTCTAATTTCACTCTATAACTCTGTCACATAAACTCTGATTAAAAACAAGTCGGGGGAATAATGAACCTTGTAACTGAATGGCAGCAGGAATTAATCACTTTTTGTGTAAAAGAAGAGAGCAGCATGGCTGAACTCCATAACAAAAAAATGACAAGAAATGAAAAAGATGAGAAGAAGATGATGTTATCAAATGACAGGAAGAAGCTTTAAGCACAGGGATGACCTACAGCACAGTGCTGTATAGTTTAGGAATAAAAGGAAGGCGACACTGATGGTGAGTGATGGAAGAAGTGGATCAAAGGCGAATGTCAAAGGATCTTACTACATAAAGAAAACACGGACAAATGAGTAATGAAACTGAAGTATATGTTGGAAGAGAGACGGAGGACAATAATAAGACGGTTACAAGGCGGCCAATATCCAGAGAAGACAATAACGGAGACAAAGATGTAGGAACTGGAGAACATGAGAAGAGAAGATGCGTCTTGCTTTAACGAATGCGTGTGGTCGATATCTGATCCACTTCTGCTCTCTCACGTTTCACAGCCCCTCATCCGTCTGTCTGCTGAGCTGTGAGTCAGAACAACCCGGTCCAGCAAGTACAGGGCGAGACTCGGCTTAAATAAGGTCCTTAAATTATTATCTCTACAAACAGCATTCTGTAAGTTTTACAGAATGATAGATCATATACCAGACGTGCTGTGATTAATGCAGTCAGACAGTTGGGATTGTTTAGCTTGTCAGTTCTGCTCTGGTGTATGAAACTTTAAGTCTTGGAGAACTGTATCAACCTGCACTTGATATTTAGATCTGTCAAAATTAAGCATTTCATTGTCTGCAGCTGATAACTTTGCTGCATTTCATAAAACAAGCAGAGTCTTGTATGAAAATGAGCGTAAATTTGAATTATATTCTGCTTTTTGGTTAAAAATGCAGTACACCAACTCATTATTTTAGTTTCCAGAACCCAGATGACCCTCTTGTAAAGCAGAATCAGAGTCACAAAATCTGCATGTATGAATATTATTTCCAACATAACACCCACAGTGCAGTTTGCCAAACACTTTGGTGAAATGTAGTCTAATGGATACTGCAGACCCAATTAAACATATTCCTGATTTAACCACCGATAATTGCTGACTGGTCCCACTGTGACAAATACGTTTTCTAGCTTTATCCGTGGACATCAGAGGAAACCATTAGAGGCAACTGACAGGCAGAAGATAGTGTCATTAGTGCGATGAGTCCTCTGCTCTTTTGTTCACGGTGTCAGAGGAGCTTGTAATGGAGGATAATGTTCCACCGGAGTGTAACACAACACAAGTGTTAGCGGTTAAGAGGATGGTGTTCCAAACAGGTGCTAAATACGAGCAGAACTGTGCGTGTTGACACCTGCAGAGAGGAGGTTCGCCTTAACTGCAAACTAATGTGTATATATTTTCTCTCTTACCTGAAGTAGTGGTGGCCGTCCAGGTGGATCAATTTGAGTTTATTTGCCAGAATTTTCAAACATGATTCAGCAAAATATCCAGGTAGCTCTACCGCTGCTGGAAAAAAAGGAGAAGTCAGTTAAAATTAAAATGCTTTTAGCAACATTTTGCACTGAAAGGCGAGGAAAGCAAAAGAAAAAAAAAAAGAAAGATTGCTTTTAAATTCTCTTTATTTGAGCTGTGAGATCCACAAAGCCACAAAAGTCATTCGCTGAGTCAGTGTGGAAGCAGAAATCTTTGAGGCTCCGATCGTAAAATGTGGACAATAAACCCAACAGACCACGAGTTTAAAAAAAAAAAAAAAGAAGTGAAAATAAAGAACACTTGAGGGGTGTATTAAAGAGAAAATAGTCATAAATGAAAGCCTTCAAGAACATCAATGAATGAAAGTAATCAGATAAAGCTTCATATAAATGCAAGGTTCATATGGGTATTATTTCATATGGGTGAGAACAGCTGAGCAGTCAATGGCCTTTCAAACATGAGAGCATGTGAAGTTCATTTTTCCCATAATTACCTAACCAATGTGGGGACACTGCTGCTCGACGTCGACCTCTCTGATCTCCAGCATCTCACCCCCCGGAGCTTTGTGATAGTTTCACGATTTACACTACAGGAAGTTCACCACGGCGGGCTGAGGCCTGACTGATAAATTCTCATCAATTCAATTCAAGTCCAGTGACCAGCTTGTTTATAAGATGAAGCAATTGTGGGCAGACGCTTGTTAGCCACTATTGTGCCAGCTGCCGTGAGAACAGATACAAATGATAAACTAAATGTAATTGTGGTTGTATCAAACATGTCTTCATAAGAGATCTTTTAAACTGCAAGAAAGTCTTTGTGCCGCTGCTCTGGAATCTGTCAGTGTGACTCAGGCTACATGACGAGACAATGGAAAAGACAACCACAGAGGGAGAAAGGAGATTCATCATAGATGAAAACAATTCAGCTATCAATTCGAGACGTATGACGACAGCATAATAATGATGCCGTCTCACCCTGTTATTTCACATCAAAAGAAGCTCCGAGATCTGACAACTTCTTATACTCACAACCGATAAAAGTCGTCTTTTAATCAGGAATTCTTGCTTCAAAAATGAAAATATGAAAGGAGGAGAGAGGTTTAGGGCTCGGCTGCTTAGGTTCTGCTGTACCAAAAAGTTTAAAGAAACCACTTGTATTTTTGCGATTGATGCAATAAAAGCTACCGGGTCAGTGCTGTATGAAACACCTCGGCGCTGTCATCAGACTGGCTGCAACACAAAGCAGAGGCAGAAGGGATTAACACGGAGCTGTAACCGCACTGCACTGATCATCAGCTGGCCGATCGCCAAACCTCCAGTCTGGACCACCAGCCGCAGGCTCCCACTCATCACAACACACACACAGACACGTGTTATCAGTCATCACTGCACTGAGCTGAAGATGGAATATACACTGATTCAGCGAATGGCCGGTGAGAAACAGACAGCGAGCTGTCAACACCATCCTCTGAATTTATGACATCAGTGGTGCAATATGTGAGAGAATCGGTTTCACAGAGTCGACTTCCCAAGAAAATTATTAGAATTTTGTTTTAATGTTGTAGCGTGCAGGAGACAGTCACAGGAGTGAAACGAAGCAGAAGAAGAAGAAGCCTCTGGGCGATATGTGCAGCTCAAATATATACGAGCATGTCATGAGTGAATTTGAGAGGCCTGTGTTGGCACGTGGTTGGTACATATAATGTTTTCTTTTTTTCACTTTTTTAATAAGGAGAATCACTTCAAATTTGGCATTTTCTTTGGCTAGTT